CAATGCCTTGCCCAGCGTCAGCCGGCTAGTAAATATGTGCGGCAGGATTCAAACTCAGGTCCTTTTTGATGCCAAGTCCAGCACTCTATCAGCTGTGCTGCCTGGCTATCTCCCATAGACTCAGAACTGGAATGGACCTTAGAAACCAGCTGATTCAACTGCTCATTGTACAGATGAGGAAATTGAGTCTCAGAGAGGGCAAGTGACTTGCCCGGGGTTATCCAGCTCAGAAATATCAGGTCTTCCAGACTCCAGATTTAGCACAATATCTACTATACCATACTTTCCTCCAAAGAGGATGGTAGGTGGCATTGTAGATAGAGCAATGGGACTGGAGTCTTTCAAATCCGGCCTCAAACTAGTTGTGTGACCCTGGGAAAGTCACTTCACCCTGTTTGCCTCAGTTTCCTTATCTGGAAAATGGAGATAATAATAGCACCTTCCTCCTGGGGTTGTTGTGAGGGTCAAATGAAATAATAATTGTGAAGTGCTTAGCACAGTGCCTCGTATGTAGTAAGCCCTATATAAAAATTAGCTATAAAGAGAGAGGACCATTGGAGAGCTATGCCCTATGGAGTAGTTGAAAGACTGAGCAATCTGTCATTGCATGTGACCTATTTGTTGGGTCATTTCATGTAGCCTTGATACATATATTGTATGAGACTTATCACACTATGTTATGTCATTGATTTCTATTCTATTTCTGTATATGTTCCTACTTGCTAATACACTTCTAACATGGATGATTACCTGTATATGTACTGGGTAATTTGTACTTGCAATCTAATTTAGCAGATTGTAAAGCTCTTTTAATGACCCCAAACCCCTGTGAAACAATGGCCTGTCCATTCAGAACCAACAATCTCCTGCTGATGTTGTATGAATGTGTGGTAATTAACACTACAGCCTTTGAAAAACAAATTTTGATTTTGCACTAACAAAATGAATGTAACTAACATAAGAAAACAGCTATCAATTGGGAGAAAAATCTTTGCCTCATTGCTAAGAGTTTGATAGCTAAGATACATAGGAAACTAATGTAAATATAAAAGGGCCAAATTTTCAATGAATATCAGAGGATATGAAGAGATAGTTCTCAAAAGAATTCAAGCTATTAACAGCCACATGAAAGAGAGCTCCAAATCATTAGGTATAAAATAAATGCAAATCTAAACAACTGTGAGGTTTCACTTCAAGCTCAGATGATGTGATGATGTCAAAGATGACAAAAGATGGAATTAGGTGATGCTGAAGGTGTTTTAGAAAGAGTGGAATGCTAATATGCTGGTGATGGAGCTGTGAATTGGTCTGACCATTCTGGGAAGCAATTTAGACTTATGTTTAAAAAAGTGGCTTCAAATGCCCATGTGCTTTGCCCCAGAGATTTTACCATCAAAGAACTCAAAGACAGAAAGAACATACACCAAAATATTCATAGCAATACTCTTTGTGAGATCAAGAACTGAAAACAAAGTAGACACACAGTGCCTGAGAAATAGATAAACAAATTATGGCACATGAACATAATAGAATATTGCTGTGCTGTAAGGAATTAGGAATGGTAGGAAATCAGAGAAGCATAGGAAGACTTTTATGAACTGATGCAGAGTGAAGCAAGCAGGACTAGGAAAACAGTAATACACACAATGACAATTTCCAATGGAAGTGGAAAGAATTACAACATAAAACATTCAAAAGTGAATCCTGTGCAGACAAGAGTAAGACAGGATGAGCAGGCATGGATGAGTTGCAGACTACCCAGTTGGGAAGAAACCCATATGAGAGAACTCCGATCTATTAGTAAAGTGGGGTATGGTACATGCTAATCCTTTTTTTTTTCTTTTGGAGGCAATTGGGGTTATGTAACTTGTCCATGATCACACAGCTACTATCTAAGAATGGATTTGAACTCAGGTCCTCCTGACTCCAGGACTGGTGCTCCATCCGCTGCACCACCTACTTATGAATTCTCTTATGAGTAGTTAGAGGCACTGAGTGACAATGGATTTAGAGGACTATTTTTGGAGTAAAGAAGATCTGGATTCAAGTCCTGCACCCGACATAAACAATCTGATCAAAGGCAAGACATCTAACTCTTCAGTGCCCCAGACAGATCTCTAAGAATGTAAATTAAAGACAAATCATAGACTCTAGCCTGCATCATTAGAGGACTTTTCCATCCTGGAACTTTCAATACTGAATGAAATCTCAGATGTGGGCAAAAAAAAAATGTATATTAAAAATATTCCAGGCACTGTGGTATAATGGACAGAACATAGAGCTAGGAAGACCTGGGCTCAAGCCGTACATCTGTTATATATCAGCTGTGTAATTCTGGACAAGTGCCCTAGGCCACATTCTGAGACTAGACATTACAAAGAAAGGATCGCTTGCATCAGTAGAGGGATTTTCCTCATCTGGGAATTCCCAGTGAAATCACAGGTCCAGGCCCAGTATACCTGGTATGATTATTAAGGGTGACTTAGGAACTGCCACGACCACTCATAACCGCCTGGGTCCCTCTCCCATGAGGAGAAGAAGGGAGGGGCTGGAGATGAGCAGGAAACCTGGAGGGGGGTTGTTTTAGGGGTGCTTCCTTTGCGTGTACATTCTTCATGTCATATTACTCCCTATTTTAATGAAAGATGTTCAGGTTCTTATCATGACTCAGCAAAATGCTGGGTCTGAGAGCAGATTCCAGTGGGAGTGGGCTTCAGAACACCATGATTCGAAGTTGTTTGGAATTTCAAGCTGGAGGGATGCTTACTTGTTGGAGTGGTCCCAGGGATATTTCCCTGCTACAGACAGATAAAGAAACGAGGCCTAGAAAGGGGAAGTGACTTTCCCAAGGTTAGACTGGTAACAAGGAGAAGGCCTGGGACTTGGGATTTGGACCTGCGTCTCTAGCATCAAATTCATGGGCGTTGCAAATGCACCATTAATTCCTTGAGTTGGGCTGGGCTGGGCTGGGCTGTCGTCAGCACCAAAGAGCTGGAATATGGGCGAAATTGATGCTGGTCTTCCCCCACCACCCACATCCACCCTCCACAGATGCATTGTCCTTAGGGAGACCCACGCAAAGCTGGCGGCACGGATGGTAGTCTTACATGAGCAGTTCTCAAAGGCATGCTTCATTCCCGTTGAAAGCACCCCCTCTTGGCTTTTCCATTTTTTTTCTCTGCCCTTTGCTTATGCTTTGCCCTGGCTCTCTGCCCTGGGCGACCCTCAGGGCTCTCACAGAATTCAGTGGGAATCAGAGTAACCCTTGAAAGGTCACTTGTGACCTTGTGTTCTGGTTCCATCAGCCCAACTGGAGGAAAGGTCAAACTTCCTATACCACCTGGCTACAAGCTCAGTCTAGTCACCCAATATCTGACCCTGGGTCTTTCTGGCCTTCCCTCCACCCTTAGCTTATTACCCAGAAGCTATTAGGGCATGATCCCCTTAGATTAGGCTTTCAGCCTCATTCATCTCCTCTCAGGCACTGTCAGAGAAAATAAGAACCCCTTTATTCCAGTCTACTTCTTTCTGAAGGCTTAGAAAGGGGGGAAAACCTGTTTGATAATAAAGTTGTTTAATAATTAGGATGTTTTGTTTGTTTATTTGTCTTTTGAGACTCGGTCTCCCTATCTCACCCAAACTGGGCAGGCAGTGGGCCACTCACTGGCTGACCTCACCGCTGATCAACGTGGATGCTTTGACCTGCTCCATTTCTGACCTGGACCACTTTGATCCTCCTTGGGCAGCTCAGTGGCCCCCTGATCACAGGAGACCCCCATATTGGTGCCTGTCTTGGGTCAGACATTTCATCAGCTGTACGTTAGCCTTACACAGCTCAGAATTCCCAAACTCGAGCAATCCAAAAGCCTCAACCTCTCCTGTGGCAGGGATCATAGGTGTGCACCTCCGTGCCTGGGCCCTCCTTATATTTGTGAATCACTTTACAATTTTTGTTTAGAAAAAGCCTTTAGCATCACCTTCTTATTCAGGGAGACAGTGCTGTACAGTAGACAGAGGGCTGACTCTGGAGTGTGTGGGCTTGGGTTCAAATTTTGTCTGTTTACTGCCTTGAAGGGAAGGGAATAAGAACGTATATAGTGCCTACTGTACTAAGTACTTTCTTATAAATTTTATTTCATTTGATCCTCCCGGCAACCTTAAGAGGTAGGTGCTATTATTATCCCCATTTTGTATTTGAGGAAACTGAGGCAGGCAGAGATTAAGTGACTTGCCCAGGGCCACATAGATGTTATGTAGCTGAAGCTGGATTTGAAGTCAAGAGTTCCTCACTCTAGTGAGGATCCACTTATGACTTTGCCAGCCAAGTCACTTAACTTCTCTAGTTCTCAGTTTCCTAATCTCTGAAGTGGGTTGGACTAGATGGTTCCTGAGCTCCTTTCTAGAGCTGAGATCTAGGACTTCCCCAAGGAAGAAGGAAGGAAGAAACTGACTGCCATTATCTCAGAAGGCACTGACACATAGTAACTGGAGCTCAGAAAGGAGGAAGGATCATGTCTTAAGGTCTTCGAATATGAACTTTTGGGGTGCCAGAGGGAACTCTGTGCTATGTATCCAGCCGGAGCTCACCTTCCAAGTACCCTAGAGAGAGGGCTGACTCTGAAGCACAAAGCAGAAAACTTGGGACATGGGAAATTGACAAGCTCAGATGGACCATTGGGTTTCTAGATTTGGAGCTGGACGGTAGCTTAGTGGCCATTCAGTCCACTCCTCTCATTTTTATGGGTAAGGAAACTGAGGCCCGGAGATATTAAGTGACTCGTCCAGTATGTCTAAGATGGGATTTGAACTCTGGGCTTTCCTGACTCTAAGTCCAATGTCCTTGGGCATTCTCTAAGAAAAGGCTATCTAATTTGGAGAGACAAATTGCCCGTAGGGATGTAGGCTTGGAGTCAGTGGACGTCCTAACCAGGATATGGCCCACCCCGGGTGGAGAACAAGAAGGGAACCTACTCTGAGCCTTTCACACAGAAACCACACTGTTTACCCAATAGTGGTATTTACTGAGCTCTGTAGGGTCCAGCAGTGGGGCAGGATAGCTTGGACCCTGTCGGGCTCAGGGTCAGCAGGGCTCAGGGTCAGCAAGCCTCAAGGCATCAATGGCTAGTAACAGCGTATGAGGTGGAGTCAAGTCCACTCAAGAAACGTCCCCAGAGTTTTTCCAACTCCATCACCATCCACGGTTCTCAGGGCCCCAGCGGCACAAGAGGCTCAGTGGGGTGGGTGGGGTTGGCCTCTCTTTCCCCGAGTTCTGGCACAGTCTCCCGGCCTTGGATGAATCCCCCTACCCTGTGGCCAATGCTCACTCCCGGGGAATGAAGACGGCGAGCAGCGTGATGAGAAGGACTACCACTAAAGCACCCACGACCAGGCCCAGGATCACTCGCCATCGGATGTTCTCCCAACGCTTCTTCTGGGCCAATGTCTTGGTGGTCTTGCTGAAGGCAGAGCTCTGTAATGATGGGTAGAGGAAGAAGCTTAATGCAGGATCCCAGCCCCTGGGAGGCGGGCCTGAGAGATTGCCCAGGCCAGCCCCTTCACAGTTTTCTTTGTAGCCTTTATCCCCAGTAGCTCTCACCTCATTCCTGAATTCCTCCCTCATGGAGAATCATGGATCTAAATCCATAAGGTGCCTCAAAAGCCATGTTGTCCAAACCTCTCATTTTACAGGTGAGGAAACTGAGGCAGACAGAGATGACTTGCCCAGGGTCACCAGCAAGTTGGATTTGAGCTTGAGTCTTCCTGACTCCAGGCCCAATGCTCTCTCCACTACAATACAACACTATTGCCTATTGACCCTTAACCCTTGATTTCTTGTGCTCCCTCTGACTTAAGAAGCCAGAGAATCTCCTTTCATGTTTTGTCTTTGACTGCCCTTCTCTGCCTTTGGAAAACCTGAGGGCTGCAGGCAACACCAGCAAAATGTCTGGAAAGACATCGGTGTTCCTTCCCCTCATCTTCCTACTCTAGGGACCACGCCCTGCCCCCCCACACCACTGGCCTGGCCCTGAGTGCCTCCCTCACTCAGGTCCCGTCACACTCCTGTCTCACCAACTCAGTCACATTCCTCCTCCCCCTCCCTCCTGTTCCCTCTCTCCCATCCCAGCCCCCTTCCTCCTCATACCATATCAAGGAGCTGGTCGGATCGCTGTTCCAGCTCAGCTAGTTTGCCATCCCTCTCCAGGACCCGTTCAAAATTGTTCAGCATGATTTCAGTCACTTCATCTGCCTGCTGCTGGCACCTCTCCAAGTCCTTCCCTGCCTGGACACCAAGGCCAAAGTTAAATCATGTCATTGAGCCTCAGAGACCATCCTTCCCCTCCTCCTTCCATTTTGGTGGAGGTATATGACAAGTCCATAGATTCTGAGCTGGAAAGAACCTAGCTAATCCACCCCCCTGCCCCAGTCTTTCTATTAAGGAAATGATGGCCCAGATAGGTTAAGCAACTTGCCCAAGGCCACACAGGGATCGAGTGACATTTGAACCTGTGTTCTCCGACTAAAGTCATCGAACTCTGTATTGCACCACACTGGAAGGTGATTCTGGATAGCATCAGTCTTCTCCCCCTCTAGACTTGTCTTCCCTCACCTTAGACGACCTCTAAGTGAATCTAGAGATAATCTAATTTAATTCCTTATTTGAGAGATGAGGAAAAGAACTCCCCAAATGGGTGTAACATTCTCAAGGTCATTGAGATCCAGAAGAAACCTTCTAGGTCACTGAGTCTGCTACTCTCATGTTCCTTCCTCCCTTTCTCTTTCTTTGCTTCCTTCCTTTCTATCTTCCCTTAAAGTTTTGTCAATGCCTCTTGTTCTTACACTGAGTGAGGTCACTTTCCAATATGGCACCCCACCTCCACCACCATAAAATCCTCCCTTGTAACATAGAAAAATGTTTAAGCAGAGCCAGCCAACTTGGTGCCCATGACTAACAGCGCCAACGACATTCCACACTGATCTTCCTCCACCCTCCTACCAAAAGGAAGGAGGCGTGGTTTATCATCTTTTTCCATGGCACCATGATGAGTCATTATAAACCACCAGTATCATTTTAGGGAGGACACTAAGAGCCATTAAAGGGAAATGACTTGCCCAGTGTCAGTCCATCAGTCAACAAGCATTTATTAAGCACTTACGACATCCTACCCTCGGAGAACTCACTTTCTGAAGGGGAAAACAACATGCAAACACCTATGTACATATAAGGCATGTAGAAAATACATGCAGTGTAAATGGGAAGTAATCTCAGAGGGAATAACTGAAAGAGGGAATGAGGCAGAGGTGGGAAGGTCAGATTCTTGAAGGAAGCCAGGGAAGTTAGGACTGGAGTGGGGAAAGACTTGAGGCAGGAAGACCCCCCCCCCAGCCTAAGGCTATTGCACAAGTCCAGGTGTAGGGTGATGTTGGCTGGCATCAGTGTGGTGGCCATACAGTGAGGAGTAAATGAAGGAAAGAAAGAAGTCTTGATCAAGGGCTTACTGTGAGCTAAGCATTGTGCTAAGAGCTTCTGGAGATAAAGATAGCCTCTTCCCTCAGGGAGCTTACATTCTAATGGGAAAGTCAACCAGTACTGAGAAGTGATCTTCAAAGGGTGCCGAGTGGATCCGTAGGACAACTGATTGGCAGCTTTCGAAGAAGGAGTGTTAGTTTCATCAGTAGCAGAGCAGAGACCAGACCACAGGTGTCCACACTCCCGATCCATTCTGACATCTCTAGCAGTCCCCCACCTGCCTTGGGAGGGGTCCTTCCAGTCCATAGGCTTTTCTCCTTGTGTTAAGTGGAGGGAGAGTCTTTCTGCCCAGGGCACTTGAACCCTGGCTGGACTGTGGCTTTTGCAACAGAGAGCAAAGATGAGGACAGCCAGCATCCGAAAGCTGAGTGGCCAGGAAGGCTGAGAACAAGGAAAACCCAGCTTTCTCTTTTAAGGTCTGAGACCGGCCAGACCAGTTCTGTCTCCTGTCCTGCCCATACTCTTAGGGAAGATTAGAGCTTTCCTTTACTCTTAGGAAAACCACAGACTTCTCTTCCCCTGGCCAGGGCTATGGGTGAGCTCACCTAGACCAAAGTAGATTCCTTGTAGCTTGAGCTGGCAGACCGACCAATAGAAGACTGTTGATTTGAGAGGGCTGGACTAGAGACTGAGAACAGGAGTGACCCAAGACTCAGACGCCAGAGGGAAGAAGGATGTTTATGGGCAGAGGGACCATACATCGAGTGATGGAAAGAGCCTTGGATTCTGCGTCAGTAGAAGAAACCCTGCGTTCTGTTTGTTATTATTCATTCCTGTCCCTCTCTTCATGACCCCATTTTGGATTTTCTTGGCAAAGATACTGGAGTGGTTTGCCATTTCCTTTTCCAGCTCATTTTATAGATAAGGAAACTGAGGCAAACAGGGTGAAGTGACTTGCTCAGGGTCACACAGCTAGTAAGTGTCTCACGCTAGTTTTTTTGTTTTGTTTTGTTTTTTGGTTAGGCTATGGGGTTAAGTGACTTGCCCATGGTCACACAGCTAGTAAGTGTTATGTGTCTGAGGCTGGACTTGAACTCAGGTCCTCCTGAATCCAGGGCCGGTGCTCTATCCACTGCACCACCTAGCTGTCCCTCATGCTAGTTTTGAACTCAGAAAGATCTGTCTTCCTGACTCCAGGGCCAGCACTCTATGCACTGAACCATCTAGCTGCCCTCCTTGGTTCCAACTCTTGCTCTAATAAGCTGTGTGGCCTTGGACAAGTTGCTGGATTTCCCTGAATGTTTTCTCATTAGTGCTTAGCACATAGTAGGAGCTTAGTAAATGTTAATTGACTACTGACTCACTAATGAAATAGGTATTAAAATGAAATAGGTATCTATCTCCCAGGCTTATGGTTAGAAGAGTACTTTGTTAGGGGCAGCTGGGTGGGGCACTGGGTAGAGCACCGGCCCTGAAGTCAGGAGGACCTGAGTTCAAATCTGACCTCAGACCAAACACTTGATACTTACTAGATGTGTGACCCTGGGCAAGTCACTTAACCCTAATTGCCTAAAAAATTTTTTTCTAAAATACTTTGCTATTTCTAAAACTAAGAGAGATATTATTTTTATGAGTAGTAGGAAAAAACCCTAATGTAGACAGTGTTATAGAATAGAAGCATTGGAGGAAAAGAAGGCAGCTAGATAGCAAAGGGCAGGCTCTGGGAACGCTTCTGTGCCTTGGCTAACATCTGAATCAGATCAGTTACAGTCAGCTCTGAGTAGAGTGCCCTCTCCCCGACTGACTGACTCTGACTGAAAAGCAGTTTTTCTAGTCTCTCCCCACTGTTGGAGACTTCCCAAGAGTGCAGCTAACCCTTCCCCTTCCTGACTGACCGTCTCTAACACGTCTCAGCTGTGCTACGCATTGTACTGCTGGTTTATTTCCAATTCGATTCGAATGTGACACTCTCTCATAAGTTTAGAACTGGAAGGGTCCAGCTCTAGTCAACCCCCTCTCAGTTTTGCAGATGAGAAATCCCATCTTCACCAAGAGAAGGAAGGAACGTCACTCAAGTAGGAAGGAGAATAACGATAGCTTGCATTTGTGTAGTGTTTTCGGATTGCAAAGCACTTGAAAAAAGACCTCGTTTGAATGACGCCTGCAGTACCTAACTCAGGGTAGCTCAAGGTTCAAATGAGATAATATATGTAAAATACTTTGCAATAAAGTGATATAGAAATATTATTTATTAATATCTGCAAGGTACCTAATTCATGAGGGGAAAAACTGTGCATTGTAACAGAAAGAAAACCAAAGTTTAATTTCTATTTTCTCTAGGGAAAACTTCTTCCTGAGCTGATTTATGAATTTGGGTTTGTTGTTTGGGTTTTTTTAAGTGATTAAAAATATTTGCTACCCTGACTCTGGGGGAAAAAATCTTATTTGATCTTCACAACAACCGAGAACTGGTGCTATGATCATCCCCATTTCGCAGATGAGAAAACTGAGGCAGGTTAGGTGTCAGCTAGTGAGTGTCTGAGGCTGGATTTGACCTCAGGTCTGCCTGACTTCAGTTCCAATCTGTTTTTTTTTCCTGCACCGTACTTCTCTTCTCGACTCTGTGGTGTCAGGGGTGGGAAGTCCAGCATGGTGAAACAAGTTCTGAGTTTGAATGCTAGCTCTGAACTTACTGGCTGTGTGACTTCGAGAAAGTCAACAGACCTGTCTGAGTCAACTCTCTCTTCTTTAACATGGAGGATCATGCCCTATACAGCCTCCTTCACCGAGGATCAGGTGAGATCCTGGGCATAAAGGACTTTAGAACCTTAAAAATGTCCTGTGAATGTACATTATTGGTCACTATTATGCTGATAAAATTTCAAGCTCCCTGAGGTCAAGTACACGCTCTGAGAAGGTGTTGCAGTAGATTGTGAAGTAGATAGAGCTCTGAACCTGGAGTCAGGAAGATCCGAGTTAAAATATGACCTCAGAAGCTCGTGTGACCTTGGGCAAGTCACTTAACCTCTACTTGCCTCAGTTTCTTCAACCTTAAGGATAATAATAGTACCTACCTGGTAGGGTAATTGTGAGGATTAAATGAGGTAATATTTGCAAATCGAGAGCAGAGTGCCTGGCACACAGCAAGCACTTAATAAATGCTCATTTCTTTCTATCAGCTTATAACTCAACCCAAGAATTTATTAAGCCTCTCTCTCTCTGTATATGTATATGTATAGACACATACATACACACATATATGTACATACATACATACTATGACTTCAAATACAGCCTCAGACGATTAATAGCTGTGCGACTCTGGACAAGTTACTTAACCCTGTTTGCCTCAGTTTCCTCAGAAGGAAATGGCAAACCACCCCAGTATCTCTGCCAAGAAAACCCCAAAATGGGATCATGGAGAGTCGGCCATGACTGAATAACAATATGAAAATATTAGATAGATAATCTTGACTCCTGCTTCGGAGTTAAGATGACCTGTGTCAACTCTTGCCTATAGCATCACTGGCTGAGTGACCAGAAGCTAGTCATTTAACCAGTTAGAAACCAGAACAGCTAAGGATCTGAGTTGGAGACAAATTGGAGGAAGGAATTCCTATACCTGGAGTTCTTTGATGCTTTATTATCTCTGTTTCTCCAGCTCATAAAGAGCTATTTGGAAAGACCTTTGAAAAATGATTTAACATTAAAGCACAATCTATTTGAGTTTTAGAACTAGGGAATGGGAATGAGCTCAGGGGAGGTTTGGGGTGAACAATAGGGCAGAGTACAGGGAGCAGCAGAAGCCAGAA